ACCTTTGCCACTGCAACAATGGTGGAGAGAATTCGGTGGTGTGTCGATGATACGGTTACTAGTGATCACTACGGCATAGTCACCACACTAATGAATGCAGGTCCAGCCCAAAGACCACATCTCATTCCTAAATGGAAAACTGACAAGGCCAACTGGTTTGCCTTCCAAGAAGGCTTGGCTCGATGTCTGAAAGACAATGAACCCAATAACAATAATGAAAATGTGGATGTGCTAGAGGCAAGGCTAATCCAGGCCATAAACCAGGCATCCTCACAAACCATTCCCAAAACTCGCCCATGGTCCAGAACTCACAAAGACGCCTGGTACTATAATGACGAGATCAAAGAGGTCAACCGCAGGGTTAATATGTGCAGAAAAAACTTCCGACGGCAAAGATCTCCCGACAATCTGGCCCTGTTGAGGGAAGCTGTTGTGGATGCCAAGGAAACTGCCAACAGAGTAAGGCAGGAAAAATGGCTGGAATGGTGCCAGTCTTTTGGGTACCAGACCAGCCTTACAGAGTTGTGGAAACGGGTCAGGCAAGCGACAAGCCGTCAAGCCCCGAAATGCACTCATCATGACCCACAATCAGAGGCTAACAGATTGGTGCTTGAGTTCTCTGCCAGAACCAGCACCAACAATCTGCCTCCAATGATGAGAGAAAAACAACAAAACTTAAATCCAGAAAGACTTGCTCTCATAAGAGACAAGATGATGATGATGAAACAGATGCCTTGTTCTCTCTTAGGGAACTAAGAAAATCATACAAATCCAGCTCTGGGTCAGCACCGGGATCTGATGGGATCTCTCACCCCATCATTTCGCATCTAGGCCTTGCAGGAGAACTTGCATTCTTGCAGGTTATCAACAAATCCTGGCAAACAGCCACGGTGCCCCAGAACTGGAAACAAGCCACAATAGTTCCCATCCCAAGTACCGCCCCATCTCTCTTCTCAGCTGCCTGGGTAAAACAGCTGAGAAGATGGTACTCAACAGGCTCCGATGGAAAACGGGTCCCCCCCATGAACACCTGCACGGGTTCACAAGGGGTAAGAGCACTGCTCATAGCATTTCCACACTCTTAAGCACAATCTGCACCTCGCCCGCCGTGGTTGTCTTCCTTGACCTGGAGAAGGCTTTTGAGTTGGCAAGTCCACTTGCCATTCAAGAGACCCTAATCCACAAAGGAGTCAAAGGCAGACTCTTGGCCTGGATAGCTGACTATTTTATAAATAGATCAGCAAATGTCAGATTTCAAGGCCACCTCTCACAGCACATGCCACTTGAAAATGGAACTCCTCAGGGAGGGGTTCTTAGTCCAGCCCTGTTTAATACCCTCATGTCCAACATACTCGACATTCACCTGCCAGAGGGATGCAAGATCATCTCTTATGCAGATGACTTGGCAATCATAGCCTCTGGCAACCACTGCCTTACTAGAGCTCAGCGTTGTCTGAACCTGGTGTCTGAAGAGTGTTGTAGGACGGGTCTAAAAATATCAGCAGCAAAATCCAAAGCAATGGCACTGAGAACCAATGTCAGAAACAAAAAACTCACCATACAGGGTATGGATCTGGAATGGGTGAAGGATTATCTATACCTTGGTGTATGGATAGGACACACACTCACTTTCAAAAAGGAGATCCAATACCTGCTTGACAGAACCAAGGAAAGACTGTCAGTCATGAAAGTCATGACAGGGAGACACATAGGAGCAGGACACAAAGTACTAAGATCATTCTATGTACATGCTGTCCGTCCTATTATTGACTATGCATCTGTCGCCCTCATTGCTTCCAGCACAACATTAAAAGAAAAACTGGAAACAATACAAAACGAAGCAGCCAGGAATTCTAGGTGCACCTAAGCGGACAAAGGTCATCAACCTCCTCATGGAAGCTGATTTACCGTCCATGGACACTAGAATAGATCTAATGGCAGCACAGTTCCTTTCCAAGGTCCTGCAGGCACCCACAAACTCCTAAGACAAAGAGTTCTCAGACGCCTACAACAAGATTATCAGTTGTTTGCAGACAATTCCTGGCTCACACATACAGCCAGAGTTTTGATACGCTTTCAACTAAAAGATTCATTGCTTGCCAAGGGTATGGACTCCCCTCACCCTGATTACAAAGAACCCCCGCCGTGGGCAAACGAAATGATCGAATTCTCAATTCTAAATCTCACAATGAGAAAAGATCAATATTCCATGCCTGGCCTAAAGGCACAAGCACAAAGGGTCATTGAACAAATAACTCCGCCGGGTAGTATAACTTACTACACGGACGGATCCGTGGATCCAATAAACCATACTGCAGGCGCCGGCTTTGCAACAAAGGATACCACAGCATCCATTAGGGTCACTGACAATGCCTCAACGCTTCAGGCTGAAACGGTTGCGATCATGGAAGCATTGACACACGCGTCCCTGAGGGGAGGACACGTTGTCATTCATACAGGCTAAAAGAGGAGGACGACTACGCGTAACACACGACGAAATCACTGCAGCATCCACAGCGGACTCTTAGAAAGCATCGGTAACCATCACGCGAAAACTGCATCTCAGATGTCGCCTGAGGGAGCACGCGATCAGCTGTCATGTTCCAGCGGTCAAAGAAGAATTAAAGGAATGGCACCGTGACACTCGTCTGGGCTCTACAACATCTCGTTGACGATATTGATTATTAGAAAAATGCAATCTTTAGTGACGAAACTCACTTTACGTCGTTGGAGGCCAGAGCAAGGTATGTCTGGCGACGCATCGGCATAAGATACGATGCTCGAAACATTCAGGAGAGAGCCAGGACCGGGAGGTCAGGGGTTCGCTTATGGGGGGGGGGGGCGGTGTTTGTGGGCGTGAGTGTGTGCACGTGCATGTGTGTATAGTTATAGGGGCTGGATGTCGAGCCACGGTCCAGGGGAGCTGGTAAGAGCGAACGGCACCTTGAACGCCAGGGAATATATATTGCTTTTAGAAGATGTGATGCCAACAGTAAGAGCCATGGCAATCCCTGAAGGCGAACCCATCGTATTTGTCCAAGACAACAGCCGCACACACACAGCCCACATTGTGACCGAGTGGTTCAGAAGGCACCCTGAAATTCAGGCAATGGACAGGCCTGCCAAAGGTTGTGACATTAGCCCCATAGAAAATCTAGGGGCGATAATGAAACAAGAAGTAAACATGGGACCAGAACGCACATGCGATGCTATTGACCGATCAGAGAGAGGAATGGGAATCTGTGCGACGCAGACCAAGCATTTGCGAACGCCTCGTGGCCTCCTTGCCAACCCGCCTCAAGGAGGTAATTGACGCCCGCGGTGGTTGGACCCGCTGCTGACAAGGCAGTAATTTATACAGATATTTGCTTTTTTAGATGCAATAGAATGCGTGTAATGCAACCAGTGAAATTCTTTCCCATATTATATATTTGCATTTTTACATGGAATAGAATGCATGTAATGCACCAATGAAATTATTTTTCATATTATTTATTTGTATTTTTACATGCAATATGATATTGTAATGCACTCGAGTAAATTGTTTCCCATGTTATATCTTTTTATTTTTACATGCAGTACAACATGAAATACATCCAGCTGAATTATTATCCAAGTCAAAAACAAATATTGTTAACTTAACTAAGTTGACATCAATACAAATCCTATACTAAATTAGGATATCCTTTGATGTCTTCTTGGCAAAGAATAATAAAAGATTAAAAGGGAGAGCAGCTGCTTAAGATAAGGCAGAACCATCAATCAGTATAATATAACGCAAACCAAGGATATATCCGTCTGTCGAATATTAATAAGTCCGTTCAAACAATATATATATATATATATATATATATATATATATATATATATATATATATATATATATATATATTATAATAGGATGTGATAAGATTTTGCGATAATTATTTTCGAATTGATATAATTTATTTCTTTCAATATCCATCAAATTAACGACAAAAAAACTCTCTCTCTCTCTCTCTCTCTCTCTCTCTCTCTCTCTCTCTCTCTCTCTCTCTCTCTCTCTCTCTCTCTCTCTCTCTCTCTCTCTCTCTCTCTCTCTCTCTCTCTCTCTCTCTCTCTCTCTCTCTCTCTCTCTATATAATTCAGAATTCAGCCATTATTGCACTTTTTGCCTGATTTCCGTAATTTCCCTCCTCCTCACATTCTAACCTCCATGTCCTGGTTGTTTGAACGTGGGCCGCTTTCAGAGCCAGAAGGGCATGGTCTCTCAGAGCCAGGTCTGGAGAGGCGTCACCTCTTTTGTTGCTGGCTGTACATGGAACAACCCTGATATATATATATATATATATATATATATATATATATATATATATATATATATATATATATATATACACACACACACACACACACACACACACACAACACACACACACACACACACACACACACACACACACACACACACACACACACACACACACACACACACACACATATATATATATATATATATATATATATATATATATATATATATATATATATATATATATTTATACACACACACACGAAAAGACAGCCTTTATATTAAAACATTTTTCCAAAGAAGACCATGACAGAAAATCTGATTAAGTGAATAAGGGTAATATTCTTATATATTATATATATGTATATTCACATACATACATATGTGTGTGTGCAGATACATATACATACATTCTGTATGTATATGTATACATACATACATAAATAAATATATATACATATACAGACACATGCATATACTCTATATATGGACATGCATACATATATAATGTATATATGTATGTGTATTATTCAATAATAACAGTAATAATAATGATCGTAAGGATAAAGATAACGATGATAATGATAAGCAGCGGAAATGAATCAATTACTCACATGACGCGCTGACCGTCTTTCACAACGGCTGCAGTATCATTCACAATATACCTTCACGCTTATCGAATCAGCATACCAGATAAGATAACACGAGATAACAGTGGTCAGACCCGCCGAGTTTCTTCCCGTGCTACCACTGCACACCTTTAACAACCAAAATGAAGTTATTTCTGGGAGTTACCGTCACACTGAGTGTCCTTGTGGTTCTCGTCGCCGCTGCACCCAAGGCAGGTGGGTTGTATTGGTGTTTATTCGTAGTGGAATCCAGGTGTTCAGTCACAACAGTATAAATAAGGACAAAGGAATTCGATAACACTGGTGGCGGTGAATCACCCTGTTCTTCAAGAAGTGTGGTATTTGGTTATGACAATGTTCAGTGAGTAGTATTTGGTAAATGTTGATGTTCAGTTATCCAGGTGTTCAAACATTTATAGGGACAGGAGGTGGAAGAGTAATGAGAAGAATAAGGAAACTATAGTCACATTGCAGGATTTCATTCATAGTGAAATGCGGAGTAAATGAGAGACAGCTAGACAGACTGACAAACATATACATTGGAGTATTATATAACCAGATACAAATTACATTCTAAAATATACAGAAATACGCATATACACTTTATTATGTTACGAGCGGCATATAATCTAGACATTGATAATAACGCTAATGATAACATTAACGAAATTTTATCATCCATAATGATAAAAGAAAACTATAAATTCGGCGATATTCATGACGTAGGTACTAGTATGATTTAGAATTGAAGGTATAACAAAATATCAATTTTAATTTTAATTTTTAATCAAGCAGTTGCAAATCCGCACGAGACGTTAAAGCCCGTTTTCTATGAAGGCACCAAGTTAAGGGGGATCTACGCTAATAGGACGATCCATAAAACACCAACTTTTATATCTTCGATGATATAATTAAATGTAAAAACGAAACGTACCTATAATTATACCCAACTAATTGTCAGCAAAAATAAACATCAATTTTTATTCTTAATCCAAACACCTTGTGTATCAGCAAGACTGCACTTAATTACAGGTTTATTTTCATATAATATTGTTAAAAATCTGCCTTTGTCATAATTACAATATTTCTCTTACCTTTAAAATATCTGAAGGAGCTTCATGCAGTTTACATAGACGAAGGGCCATATGTATACTACCTATATCGTTCTTGTTAATTATTTACTATCTTAAATATTGTTTAACAGTGCAACTACCATTAATCTTACCAGCATAATTTGCAACAAAAATGGCTATTATCATTCTATCACGTCATCAGTCCATGTCTTACCTTGGGTATTTTTTTTAAAGATTACAATCTGCTTGCATTTTTTTCGGACATACACGAGCAAAAAATCGTGTTGCCCGTTCTCATAATAACATTTGTTTAGCGCATATCAAAAGGTTTAACCCTGCAGAAGCTACTTTGAACAATGCTGAGCGCTTACTACTAATGTTCAAGAACTTCACCAGTAACATAAAGAATCGCAAACATTATTTGGTAGGATAGTTATCTTTGCTGTTCGAATAACATTACTTATCAGGGAAATGGTTTACGATTTCTATGGGGATTTATGACATGGGTTATAAAGAAAGAAAGAAAGAAAAACAGCAAATCTTCAGGCAGTAAATTTAAATCATTGCACTTCTTTTTTTCGTAAATAAAGGCTAAATTCCCTGAGCTTCCATTATTCATCAGAAAACTTGTATATCACGTAGTTTAAATATAACTGTCTTTCCAGTATTCGTAATCTCCCATGAAACAAAGTAGCTTGCCATTTTGATCTTAAAATAATATATATATATATATATATACATTATAGTGGATGAGACAAGGGCCAATACAGTGTTGCGGTCAATAAAAATTTGTAATGCTGTGTTCGGAACTGCTCCTTGTATATCACGTAGTTTAAATATAACTGTCTTTCCAGTATTCGTAATCTCCCAAGAAACAAAGTAGCTTGCCATTTTGATCTTAAAATGATATATATATATACATTATAGTGGATGAGACAAGGGTCAATACACTGTTGCGGTCAATAAAAAGTTGTAATGCTGTGTTCAGAACTGCTCCTCGAACTCGGACGGACAAGCCAACTAGTCGGAAAAACCGTTTGGAACGCCTTCCAACTTATTTGGACAGGTCAACTTGCGCCGCAAGAGAGCAGATGGTACCAGGGCTGACCGCTTTTCTGTGACAGCATTTCTGCCGTTATCTATGACAAAGAAAACGGACTTAAATAATAAAATTGGACCATACACTATCATAAATGGATGAATGTTAGATTAAAGTTACAGCGGGTAGGATCAGAATCTGGTGATTATAAGATTTCCTACGTTACTTCCTTGTTCATTGCACTGCATAAAGCAATATGCAGTAAATACATTACCAAGCCAATAATGTAACATACAACAACATAAAATGCACCCGCATCTCTTAATAGAAGATGTATAACTTTAGGAAATGCGATGTTGAACCTGTAAACTTGATTTATCTAAAAAGTATAAGACTATTCATAGTGAGTGTGTTGTAGAGCTAAAGGTTAAAAGTCACTCTATGGGACTGTGGCTCTGCCAGCTGAAGTAACATCGGATGAAATTTCCGCCGCGATGACGTTCGATCTGCCACATCATATCAGCTCCTACCAGGGGCCAAATACTCAAATGCATTATGGGGCCGTATCTCCTTAACCAAACGGAAAAAACAACGAAAAAGGAGATAAGACAACACTCGTAAAATGGAGGAAAGAGAGAGATAAATATCATTAATAATACCCCTTCTCTTTTAAGGCGCCTTAGCTTACGGCCGTGTGTTCCTTCGACCTATACACAGAGCAAGGGACCCGCCTTATTGGTACAAGTTAATGTAGACAAAGGCAGTCTTAAAGCAATACATTACAATTTGTGTTTTATTCAAATATAGTGTTATAAGGTGTACATGAATCAATTGTGGACTGCTAAATAAGGAGACAAGTGTAATCTAATATAACTGTGATTTGCTTTTCCCAGGGTGTTGTATCTGTGCTATCTTCGCCTCGGATGTAATGGTTTTATTTATACATTTACTACTGTTATTAATAGTAATGTCAATATATACATTGTAGAGGGTGGGTGGACATCATGATGGCAATTGGTATGCAATTTTCTCTTGTAATATTAGCCATGCTTTCGAGCCAGGACCTGCTTTTGAGGAGATACTGCTTTGTTTTATTTTCAGGGTATTTATGCATTCCATTATTAAGGCACTCCTTTTTATAAGGAATCTTGTATATTTCTGCGTTACTTATTCTGGAACATATTAGTTAAAATGTTTATCATGCCACGAGCTGGACACAGCGGTTTATAAAATCAGCTGACTAGCATTTACGGCTTGTGATTGGTCAAGATTCCCTAAGAGACGCCTGAAACAGGAGCTGTGATTGGCCACTGAAGATCCGACGAGACGAAGCGCCGGAAAAGACGTTTGCATACACGAAGCCAAGTCCGAGATACGGCGCCACAGGACAGTTAAGGCCTCCAGCGCTCTTCAAGGTTGAGGCTGTTTTGAGTATCCGGCCCCAGGGCTAAAATTCTACGGAAATTCGTCTGCTAAACGAAAACAAAAGACTGACGGATGGTGATATCACATCGGAATTTCTTTCCGAAGGCCGCATTTTGTTATTTTGTATGACTACAGATGTTTTAATGCAAAAGAAGTGTTGAAAACAATAACGAGATATTTTCTCATTCTCAAATAAATTAAACATGAAAATTGCTGAAACCATCCTGGGGCCGGATACTCAAAACAGCCTTAAACCTAAGGCTTAAATTCCAGTGTCTTGTCACTGCCTTAAATCCCGCAGTGCTGTAAATCACATGAGGCGTCGGATCTTCAGGGGCCAATCACAGCTGCTTTTTCAGGCGGTTCGTAGGGAATCTTAACCAATCACAGGCCGTAAATGCTAATCAGCTGATTTTGTAAACACAACAGTGCCTTATTAACGGAATGCATGAATACCGTGAAATTAGAACCAAGGAGTGTCTCCTTAAAAGCAAGTCCTTGCTTGAAAGGATGGCTAATATTACAAGAGAAATTTCCATACCAATTACCAGTTTTACAAATAATACTTGGGATAAGTATTAAAGGTTAAACTATATTGTCTCTGAATCATCTTGATGTCCACTCACCCACAAATCAAGTTAACAATAATGTAAATGTTGATATTAACATTAACAATAAAAACAAAATGTAATGTATTAAATGTTTAAAGACTGAAAAATGTCTTGTATGGTTCGCCGTAACCCGCTAGGGCTGCTCTCCCCCTGCCTTAGTCTATGGCGCCTTAAATTGTACCAATATGGCGAGTCCCTTGCTCTGTGTATGGGTCGTTGGAGTACTCGGCCGTAAGCTAAGGCGCCTTAAGGAGATACGGCGCCATAATGGCTGGTGCACGTGACGGGTTTGTTTTAAACAAAAAGTGTCGAACGTCAGAATGTAACAACTTTTAAAATCAAATATTTTTAAAAATCAGCTTGAAATATAAAAGTGCAGCATGAGGATATTCATACCTATTTTATCCGAAATTTCCTGAGGAGCAGATAATTACAACATAATTGACTGGGGCATGCAGTTTGTTTCATTACTTGCTACGCATTTGTGAGGGCTTTGAAAATGAACAACTCAGTTCCAGAACCAATTTGGTCTTCTCAGTTTTTTTTTTTTTTTTTCATTTTTGACGATTCAGCTTGGACGCATCAGTATTCACAAATAATGAATTAGGTTTTTTTTATCGTTTGACTATTATCATTATCACCTTTCCAATTAATATCGTATCCGTGTGATTACTATGAGCTGCAAGTTTACATAAAAATAAACATATTCTTTTAATTAATGTTAGGAATTATATCATATGTGAAATTCTTTTTTATATTACTTACCAGTACGTAAGGTCGACATTGCTAATTAATTTCTAAGTGATGGCATTAATGGCAACAAAATTTATGTATACATTTTAGTAATGGATTGCTTCAATTTATTGTATAGTATTTTCTTTTTTTAAATATGAGTATTACCAACATGATATGAATGCCATTTGTCTATTTATAGCCTCTTAAAAATATATTACATTCCTTTATGACAATCAGTGTCACAGATAACTATTTTTCTTGTCACCCCACAGGCCTCTATACATGTATAAATAAAATGTTCAATCCAATATTTTCAGAAACTAGTGCGGCAGCAGATCAAGCAAAACAAGTACAAGACACAGAAAACCAGAAGGACGGAGACTCTGCAGTTGACATAAAGCCTGCCCCGCCAACAGTGAATTCTAAAGATGAAATTGATAAAGCAACAATTGATAAAAAGACACCTGCAGTTCCTCTTAAAGCAGGCATTGCTCTGCCGATCAAAGCCAAAATCGCCAAAAAATCTCAACATGGTAAAGCTAAATCGAAGTCTAAATCTCCGGAAACAAAGGAAGCGACAGCACCTGTGGAAGTAAAAACATCTGCCAAAATAGAAGCAGAGCCCGAACAGACACTATCGGCTACAGATGATGAAATGCCTGTTACATCAGAGACAGGACCAGAACCAGCAACACCTGTGAATGTCAAAACGACTATACAGTTTTTACCAGCCACAGTCAAACTAACAGCTGATGCAGAGATGAATCAACAGAGAGAAGCAGAAACGTCTGCACCAGTAGCGCAAGCAGAAAAGTCAACACCTGCTACGATAGATATGACTCCAGAAGCAGAAATTGTTGAAAAAGCAGTTGATCCAAAACCTGTAGCATCTGCAAAAACAACTGCAGCACCAGTAGGAGGGAAAACAACTCTTAAACAACCTGGAAAGAAAACTACATCAAAGGAACCTGCTCAAGATAAACCATCCCCTCAACCTACTGAAAATGAACCCATTGCTAAACAACTTGCTGATGTTAAACCAACTTCTAAGCAGCCTGCCAAAGGAAAACCAACTAAACAACCTGTTGAAGATAAAACTCCCAAACAACCTGCCAAAGGAAAACCAACTCCCAAACAACCTGCTGAAGATAAAACTCCCAAACAACCTACAGAAGATAAGACTCCCAAACAACCTGCTGAAGATAAAACTCCCACACAGCCTGCCAAAGGAAAACCAACTCCTAAACAACCTGTTGAAGATAAAACTCCCACACAGCCTGCCAAAGGAAAACCAACTCCTAAAACAACCTGTTGAAGAAACACACCTGCAACTCCAACAACCTGCTGAAGATAAAACTCCCAAACTGGAAGATAAAACTCCCAAACAACCTGGAGCAAAAAAAAAAACCTAAACAACCTCCTGAAGATAAAACTCCCAAGCAACCTGCTGAAAAAACTAAACAACCTGCCAAAGGAAACCAACTCCCAAACAGCCTGTCGAAGATAAAAAAACAGCCTGCCAAGTCAAACCATCTCCCACAGAGCCTGGATAAAACTCCCAAACAACCTGCCAAAGGAAAACCAACTCCTAAACAACCTGCTGAAGATAAAACTCCCAAACAGCCTGTCAAAGGAAAACCAACTCCCAAACAGCCTATTGCGGATAAGAATCCTAAACCTACCAATGTCAAACCAACTCCCGAACAGCCTGCCAAAGGAAAACCAACTCCCAAACAACCTGTCGAAGATATAAATCCCAAACTACCTGTTGACGATAAAACCCCTAAAGAACCTGCCAATGCCAAACCAACTCCCAAGCAACCTGCGAAGGCTGACCCAGCTCTAAAACAACCTGTCAAAGGAGAAGGGACCACTAAGCCATCTAATACGAAGCCGACTCCTCGACCCGCAGAGAAGAAACCGGTGCCCCCGCTTGCAGTGGTTCAGACCCCAAAGCAAGAGAAGGACCATAAAAAACACCCTGTGGGGAAACAGCCTGTTGCGCATCCTAAGGCGATTGAGGCTGAGAATGGTCAGGACGTAGAGGATGTAAGGTAAGCATTTTACCCTAGTGTTTTCTAAAGTGACCGTCCTTTGATGTAGAAGTTCAAATGTGCTTTTATCCTTTTAAGTTCATAGCTGGCCTGAATGGTCTTGTATTGGGTGTAAAGTAGGTAGTATTAGTAAATGAACGATGGTAGTTATTTCATATTCCTCAGATACAACTGCAAAAATATCCCGTATTTGCATTTTTCTGTTTGCTGTGGTGTTTGGCAGTGCAGTAATATCCTGATTTCCATACGTAATTATGTCTGAAGTATCATCAATTTGCTTTTCCCGTCAAATAAAGTCGCTGATTTTGTTATGGAATAATATTTGTAAATAGTTAACCATCCACATTATGAAAATCCCTGTTCTAGTCGGACTCTATATGAATGTAAGCACATAGTTTAGACGAAGAAGGGCGTACTCTTATTGAATTTCTTATTATTTCCTTCTTTTCAGCGACGGCAACGCAAGCATGAGTCCACACACCAAGGTGGGCGTCGTGTCCGTTGTCATCATCGTTTTAGCAATTACATCCACTGTGATCGGGGTGTGGTACCGGAAAATCAGGTAACATGGCTGGAAGCGTCAATTCGTGTGGTAGTTACTTATCATTCTTAGAACTTTTAGCCTTTTCTCTATTATTCATGT